CTGCTCCGACAATGTTTGTCTGATCCTCCTGACCGTCGCTCATCCTCGCACCGGAAACTTTTAGAACATTCTACCATACTCAACTCATGTACCTATAACTGCTTGACCATCATGAATCATAATTAGTTCTAGAACATTCGAAAAAAAATGTCTAGCAAACGTTTTCCAAACCTGCAATATTTAATTACCCCGTTCACCTCACCCCCTCCCTCGCGGCGGCTATCTGACCCTCATGAACCTCGCTCACCCCCACCCCCCTCACTGGAATCTTCTAGAACATTCTACCACTTCCCTCCCCGCACCAGACCCTACCCGAACCTTCTAGCACCCCCCTCTCCCCTCCCCGCACCTGCCTCTAGCCGAACCTTTGAAAACATTCTACCACCCCCTTCCCCCCTCCCCGCAGCAGCCCCTAGCCAAAACTTCTAGAACATTCTACCCCCTCCCCTCTCTCTCCCCCGTCCCCGCCCGGCTGTGGACCTGATGTCTCATTTCTCAAGGTCAAATTCATCCGGAAGCGGCACTGCCTATCTACTGGAAAAAAATTCAGATTTTGATCTTTGATTACAATGGAAATGTTGATTTTCATATAAGACACTGGGTTAAATCCTGATTTTTAAACATTTCTTCTTTGAAAAACCAAAACGATAATTAAATTGAGAAAAAAATTAGATTTCCGAATCTAATCAAGTTTTCTGCAATTTTTTTGTAGTTTTCAATAATCTTTGAATTTACCGGAAGGGTAGGATTACTTTAAGAGAAAAACCATGAAAATTTTCAAGACATGACATTCTGAAATCGCTATATTATCGCGTAGAATGATTAATCTCGTGGATGAAATAGATGATATGGGGTATCAATTGGAAGATGTCGACAACACCTTCAAATTGACATATGATTTATCCTTACAGGTCCTATCTACAGCCTCGATAAATGGAAAAAACTGTAATTTTTGGCACGTAAAATAACGTAAAAAGTGGAAACTATCTGAAATAACCACATGAAAATTACATTGAATCGAATCACTCTGCACAACTTCAAAGAATAGTAAATGCTCTTCCAAATAAAATACATTCCCCGCCTAATCCATTCAGGTGGATCGAACAATCCAACCAAAATTAATTTTTCAAGTGAAACATTAAAATTCAATTTTCGTCTAAAATTCTCATAAATTGATGAAAAATTGACATTGGACAAATCAGATGTTATTTTGTAGTTTAATTAATATGTTTTACTACGAGTTCACTACATGTATGGTTCATGCGAGAGAAAGAAGGAATTGAGTACAGAAACCAAAGAATGAAGATTGGTAATGCTTACAGATATTTTTCTATATTGGGTGAACAGAAAAATAGGAATTGGTCGGGAAGTTATTGGTTTGCCCCCTAATGGGTCACACCGACCCCAGTCCACATGCAATGGAAATGAGCGAAGCGAGCGACCAACAACCCAATCCAATTCTAACCCACCCGCAATGGGAGCGAGCGAAGCGAGCGGCCAATAACCCAGTCCAATGTTTTGCTTTTCTTTGGCCCTGCCGTACCTCTCGTGTAAGTTCAGCCATTTCCTTTCGAACATCGAATTATTTCTCGTATAGGGAAGGAAGGGACAGATTTTAAATCCGTTATTCACATTGTAATTTACTTTTGTGATAAAAATATGCATTCGAATTTTTTTCTTTGCTTTTCCTATCGAAAATCGTCATTTTGCGTTTTTTTTTCGATTCGTGAAAACCCTACTAGTCCTTCACTTTTCCATAGTTTTCAACGAAAATTCTTTTGTGCACTTCATGTGATCTCCCGGAAAATCGATCCTATAAAATTCGAAATCACTCAATTTCTTTTGCACTGAGAAAAATCCAACAGTCGTTTAAGGGCGTGGCGCTTAATTGAAGGCAACGCACTTATAAACGCCTTAAAAGTCGCGCCACTATGATTTGAAACAATATTCAAAAAACAGGTTGAATCAAAGTCGCGGGGATCTTTATTTCAACGGCGTACGAGTCTTTGACTCTGGAAAAATCCAAGAAAATTGAGAAAACGTATCTTGGCATAGAATTGATTGAGATTGAGGGCAGAGAGTTCAGAGATCACTAGGAATTCTCAAATGATACCCATGCACTGCCTTGCGGCCGGAATGAGAAAAAAAAAAAAGGTTTTTTTGACCCGTTGGAAGTGTGTGGCCTGTCGAACTCGAGTGGTACCCTCCTAAGAGTCCAAAAACATTTTTTCCACTAGTGTCAAACCCTATTTTCCATCGCCATGTGTGGACAGTGAATCTCAAATAAGTACGCATAAGTGATGAAGAATAGCTATATTATCTTAAGATAAAAGAAATTTTCCGTACTGACCTTCACTTTTCCTCGTCCGGGGATTGATATTGGCCTTTCCCTAAACTCGTAAAAGTAAAACTCACTATGGAAAAATATCGTTCACGGCTAGCGCCACGAGTTTTTCCTACTCGTGTGGTTGGCCAGTCCTCGCCTTCGGCTCGGACGCCAACTCCACCTGAATAAAAAACCTCATAATACTCGCCCTGAAATATACCATTTCCGCGTGGTAAAAATGCCTGCTTATGGGCTTAGCTTAGGTGAGGTGGTGGAAAGTTATGGATGTTCATCGAGGTAATGATAATATTTTACCATCATTAATTGATGGTTATCAACATAAAAATTGAAAACATGGAACTACAGTGAACTTTACTTCTAAGGACTGATTGAGTCCCAGAACCATGAGGCCATGGAACCATGACGTAATCAGACTCCATATATTCGAGGCCTAAACTAGGTCTGAATTGAGCTTCGCTAAAAGCCCCATTAATTATCCCCATTTTATTGGGTGTATGACTCAACTTTTACAGATTTCTCAGTAAATTTATTTAATAGAAAAAATAGAGAATAACGAACTTAATCTTGGAAATATTGTCCATCGTTTTCTATGACCTTGCGCCGTCTCTCAGGTAACATACGAATGCCGTCACAAAAGAAACTTGCAGGCTTCGAAGCGATAAAGTCATCGACGAATTTACGCGTATCGTCCAGCGTTTTGAATTGATTAGTTTTGAATTGATAAGCCACTGAGTTGCGGTAACACAGGGCTCATACAAGTTTACTCCCATCGTCAGCCTAAGCAATACGAACCTGAGAGGGAATATGAAGAAAATATCTGATGATTTTTGAAGGTACCCGGGGAAGTGGTATTTGACGAATCATTTTTAGCTGTAAATTCTGGCCGAAAACTCGCTTATTATGAGATTCTTTCACTTTTTATTGCTATGCTTGACAGCTATTTGGTTGACAAAAAAGAATTGCAAAGCTATAGAGAGAAATTATCAAAAGCTAGAAGGAAGTTATCAATTTGCTACCGAATCTGAATGTACTTCATTTCATCAAATACTGCACTCTATTGACCAGGATCCGACTACCAAAAATAATGATGAGGATCCGAATCATTTTTCGTATTGATTTTTCATTTTTCAAGAAAAAAAATCGTTTTTAAAATATTTGGAAATGGGTGAAACCTAAGGGTCAAGCTTAAGGATCATATCTAGCAGTCAAGTCTCATTCTTCATTAGCATTTCTCTATTTTGTTATATCCGAAATTTCCAGAAATATTCCATGAAACAAAATAAATTTTCAAGCGAAGGTAAAACACCTCCGACTTCACAGAATGCCGAATCAGCACCTCAGTGCATCGCTCCCAAAAAGTCCCACCGTGCAATGACCGCTATCGCATGCAATTTCCCAATACCGAAACTCAAAAATAATCATTTTTCCTTCCCTTGCCACGAGTCGAATTTTGTCACCAAGCAAAACTGACACGTAGAAATCAGTCGTTAGCTGACATTCGGTAGTGAAAGTTCTTCGCGGAAATTGCTTGCGGAATCGGTCGGGTGGAATTCAATTCCGGTAGTAATTCAGGCAATAATTCCTGATACTATAACGGTGACTTCTCATTCATAATTTCGGGAGATGATCATTGATTTTCACTAGGGGACAGTAATTCCCTAAAATCGAAAGTAGCCGCGTTTCTTGCATATAAAAGGAATACTCCAAATCACAAAGTATTTTGTGCTGACGAACTCAAATATAAAATTAAAGTATAAAATTCATTTAATTCACCTACTAAACTCTAGTTTACCTCAATACGCAAGTATTCTCTGTGTAGTGGCGAAAGTGTAGAGGAAAGAACATAGGTTCACCATAGACTTACTAAAATTCAAGAACTCTATATTACGTATATTTTTGAACTATTTGTTAAAAAAAATTCTAAAGTGCAATCGTTTGGCGGAATACCATTGGATACTTTACACCAAGCGATATCCGAGCAAAATCGAGTGAGTACCTCTTTTCCAAGACGAAAATAGGAATTCTTCTAGGGGACCAAAAATCAGTTCTATAAATCAAATATTCTCAAATCAAAATTCTAACATAAATTTCATGTATTGGTCTGTGTAAATCTTTCGGAGAAATTATAATTTTGATTGTTAATCTTTTGGTCATTGCAAAAGCCTTTCATCCCTCCATTTCCTCCTATCCTTGGAAGAAATATCAGGAGTTCAAAAGACATAAAAAGGTAAGATTTGAACAAATCTTTCAACGTCGTTTTCTAAAGAAGAAAAATAAAACAAGTTTATGGCACAAGAATCCGTGTCATATCTTGGAATAAATTCAGTTATTCGGAGAAATAGAATTATTTTATTCCAGCCGTAGTCCTTTGACGTGGATTACGTCTCCAGACATAACAATTTCTTCAACTCGCCAAATTGATCAGCTTGATGTTAGTCGTATTCCACTCTACCTGCACAGTTGAATTGTTCATTCTCCACAAAAAAACGATTACAAATGGTTATTAATGACTCAAGGCAGATGTGGACAACCTGAAGTTCTGAATTGAAAACAAATAATTGATAAATTTATTCTGAAAAATAGATGAGTGTGACGGCTAATACATTCGCACTGTCAGATGGGTAAAACACTAAAGATCACATTTTTTTTCCAGCATACACCAATTGCCGAAACACCAGTCCCAGGGCCCAGCACAAGTTCCACCAGCCTGCCTGAGACTTCCGAGAAAATGGAAGCAGTCGACGAGGAGGAGGATGAAGCGGACAATGAGAAGCTGAAACCCAATGGTGGGAATGGTGCAGATCTCTCCGACTATAGATGGACACAGACTCTGCAAGAGGTTGAAGTAAGTATAAAATTTGTCCAATGGATGAAAGGAAATACTTTTTGTTCATATTCTATGATAAACTGGTAGAATCAGATGAATCTTGAAATTTCATTAAAACTTTTCATATTATTTATTCTGAAAGCATTTGCCAATAGTTCATGATATTCCCCACAAAGAAGGTATCCCGCTATTTTCTTGCTAACGTCGTCCTTTCGAAGATATTCATAAAATAATCTGAAAATCTGTCGTAGATTCATTTCCTTTCCACCATTAAAACACAAAACAATGGGATCAATAAATTAACTCGACAATTTTCCGATTCTTAGATACTTTACTAAGTGGGGAAACCATCTAATACATAAGTAATATCACAGACAGGAAGAGCACAGTTTTACTCTTCTTCGCTCGTTCGAACAAACGTTCAGCTTTCGTTAGTCTACTCATGAAGAACCATTTCACGAGCTTCATAATGAAATAGTACATTCCGATACTAGGGCGCATGAAAAATTTTCTGGCGAATATGAGTTTGCAGCACGAGCCGGAGGCGAGTGATGCCATTGATATGAGTCAGAAAAATTTTCTGCGCCCGTGTGTCGAACTTTTTTTTTTTGTCACGAGGGTCGTAGGCTGTGTTTTAGGCAGGTGTGCCGACGGCACGCCGCAGGCACACGCGCCTAAAACGCTGCCTTACGACCAGAGTGACAAAAAATATCTTTCGTTACTCGGTCAAGGCAAAATTTTTGCGTCATATGATTACAACACTTTCCTTCGGCTCTTTTTTAGACCACATGACGAAATGTACTATTTTATACTTTCATTAATTTCTTTTTCATCCCTTTTTTGTCCTAATTGGGGACTCTACTTATTGAAATTTTGTGCAATTTATTTGAATAATTTTTAAGATAAGTAGACATTAAATTATATCCTCTGAACATCTTACATAATCAGTTCCAGGACTAAAAAAATCATTTAGAAATTTGACGAAATTGTTACAAATTGAGCTGGCCCCCTCGGACTGCTACAATGTTTTGAATGAATTCGTCGCGCTTGGTATCAGTAAAAAATCACTTGGTTCTTCATGAGTGTCTGACCGATAACCAAGTAGAATAAGAATTCATACAAACAATAATTCTAATTATGCGTTAATTGTAAATTGTCACATGAGTTTAATCTCCAGCCATTTCATCGGCATATTTACGTCATAACTATTACGAATAATGTAATTACTTGACTGTCACGTACCACATATTTGATACAAGCGTAATACAGTTTATATACAGCATGTCAAAATTCCATTCAAAATCAAAATCTTGAAATTCAATATATTCTAATACTAAAAATATGATCCTGCTTGAGGAAGTGCGTTTTCTTGAGCGGATTTCATCGAAGTTGGGACTCCACAAGAGATATTCGTCGTGATGCGTAGTTAGTTGTACTTATCACGAGCTCTGACTGAAAGAAAAATTGATTCAGGTAAAAAACTTTATAAACAGAGGCATTGACATTGAAGTGTCAATGAGCTGATTATATTTGAAGTAATGTATAATTGCATGTGACCAAAGAAATAGTATATTATGTCATTAGGACCGTAGACGGAGGTTTGCGATGAGTGCTGCTAACTCACACGAATCGTAAACCGACGTCACGGTCCGTATGACATATACTATTTTTTGTCACGAAGGCCCGATGAGGGGAAGGGGGTGGGGGCGCAGAAGCGGGGTCCAGGGGCCGCAGGCCCTGATGGGCGGGGTTGGAAGAAAAAACCACTGAAGAAAAAATAAATGTCAAAATAAAAAAAATTAAAAAAAAAACAAAAGAAAAAAAATCGAATGAAAAATTTGAAAATACCTATCAATGAAACCAAAAAGTAATAATAAATAAACTTCCTAACGGATGCCTAGAAAAACATGGATTTTAAGGAAGAGAGTTGCTTAAAATTACAATAAAAAAGACGAGATTTTGGGGATGAAGAATAATGCTTGAGTTACAGTGAGATGATGCAATAATTTCACAACGGCATAACCTCTACTGTTGTAACCGATTAGTTACTGAGAACGCCGCCAGTGCCGCTGAATCAACTCACTAGGCAAGTTACTAGACGGCTCGCTTACCGCGCATGCCCAACCGACGGCCATATTGCCCATATCGGCTCACTCCATATTGCATTTGTACATAAGTCATGTGGGTTACTCATCTAGTAACTGTATAACTTTACGGGTCGACCCGAAAAGTCTCATTTACTATAGCTGGTACTCAGTAGCAGTACTCTTTACGGTCCCGGCCAGCTCAGGCCAGCTAATCGCCGTTTCCTCCCTCTAAACACAGCCCCCGTAAGTGCCACTTATCGGGCCTCAGTGACGAAAAATATCTAAAGCCCTCTCGAGTGCGAAATATTCTCAATATACAGAAAAACCACCGCTTGACGATATTCACCAACATTACTCAGTAGCAAAATTGTTAAATAGTTGAGAATTTAAAAATTTCCATCATTTGGGTGATTAACCAGGAAATTAAAGTAGCATGAATAAACTCCAGTTTAGTTATTGAGTGTAACAAGGAAAAGTTGATTCAAAAAGCTTAAAAAAAAATATTCATCATTGATAATTGTTTCTATGAATTTTAACTTTAATGAGTGAAAGAAATTGATCTACCAAATTCTTTTTTCAATTTTTTTTTTCAACAGTATATTCTCGTTTGACTAGGGTGTTTCGACATACTACACCATTGCAGGTACCCAGAAACATGAATTATTGATGATTGATTTTAAAAGTTTGATACTAACGATAATTTTCATATTAGACATAGAATTTTCATTTTTTTTAAACTTAACGAGATTTTTTCTAGAGTTCAGTCCGGTTCCCAAGTTCGAACATTAATTTCCTCATAATATTCTGTGTTATTTTCATACTTCTAAATTAATTATTATCAATAACATTAGACTGCGGATTAAGCGCAAACTCAACCAGTTTGTTTCTCTTTACATTAACTTTCGTTTAGAATGTACTTCAGATTTTAATCTTAAACATTCAAATTATGTTGATGCTAATTTAATGAATTTACCAAAAATGGCCGAAAAAACTCTTTTATAGAATATTAAATTTCCGCAAGTAATACCACGAGAGCTTCAAAATTATCGAGCAATTCCCGATAGGTTCGTTGCAAACTTGACGACTTCGTTTGTGTGCAGGGAACCTTGAGGGAATTACTCGATTAATTTTGAAGCTCGAGTAGTATTCGGGGGGGAATTTTCCCATCTAAATGTCGGCCAAAAGAATTGCACTATAAGACAAAATCCATCTGACAGTTCCAACCAGGGGTTCACTCTACTACGGAATCTTTTGTTCTCCACAAATATAGTCAACATGAAAAATTACCAGTTGAATTATCAAAAATTATCAGCTGAATACCGTGTTGACTATATGAAATAACAGTCGAATAGTGCAATTCTATTGGCTGACATTTGGATGAAGAAAATTCCCGACATAATACGTCTCTCGTAATTCTCCTAACGTTCATTGTGGAGATAGTTGCATGATTAATCTCCTAAATCATAAGTACACAAATTCATATTCTTTAATTTGATAGTTGTCTAGACAACTAGTAGTTCCAGAACGAAATATCGAGAGAACATTATTGTAGAATATTATTTTCTATACTTACTTTCCATCCAGAGGATACCAGCGAAAAGTCCCACCATGAACAAGAAGCTCATGGTGCATACAAGCACCGTGAGCTGATGTCTGGCGCACCATGACTTCTTATATACTGCCATAGGTCTTCCTAACCCATTAACGACAGTGAAATGGGTGCTACTGGCCACTGATATACTATCCAGTGTTTTTGGAGAGGTTATACGAGGGGGATGCATTGTTGCGAGTGTTGCCAAGTTTGCTGCTGTCAGCAGCAGAGTACCTGATGCAGCACTCTGTAAATTCAATAAACGTTAGAATAAACACTAAAAATATTTTATAAGAAGCCATATAGAAATATCCCTGCAAATAATTCCTTAAGATGCAATACTATAGGTTGAACCGACCAGTTCACAGTCAACGCAATGGAAGGGAATTTTTGTTATTTTTAGAAACTAGCATAATGTTCCAAAACTTGAAAAGATTCTATGAAACGTTCAAGTTATTGCTACATCTTATTCGTTTGGTCCCTGGACTATTCATCGTATTTGGAATGGTTTTTCAAGTTCATTCCTTAGATGGACGCCACAGGGAAAAAAAGTATATTCGAATGGGATATAGTTTGTACCTGGATCAGATATACACGCATAATTCTGGTATCTTCTCCTATTCAGTATGTTATTCTTGAGGTACAGGATCTAACAACATTCGCGTATGTGATCTATTTAGCGGTATTCTTTGTGAAAGAATACGGCGCATATCACGAACCCGTTTTTCGATTGGAAAAATATTGACGGAGATATTTATCATTGAATACTGAATACCAGACATTGAGTGCAGCGACAAGTGTCGGGCTGCTTTGTTCTTACCGCCAACTTCATTCTTTACTTTTTCGAAGATCGAAAACAATCGCATATTTAAAAAAAATATGAAATTCTGACCTCTTTCTTTTTTCATTAGCAAAAAAATTTGGAGACTACCTGGAAGATTTTCGTCAGCTTCTCCGAGAAGTTTCTCCTCAGAAGAGTTAAGAAGAAAAGCCTAAAAGGATCCTGTTCAGTCTCCAAAAGGAAATAGCAGGAAGGATATTCTCGAGGTTTCTCATCAGAGTTTTCCCAAGAAACTTTGAAAGATGCTTCTAAGGGTACGGGTTTTTTTTTCTCCAGAATACTCTGAAAGTTGCCCGGCAAATATCCTGGGAAATATTGTGGAAACTTTCCTGAGGAATATTCTGGAAAATTTCTTGGGGAATACTTTGCGAAATTTCTTGGGGAATATCCTGGGAAATTTCTCTCAAAATAATTTGGAAAATATTTTGCACAATATCCTGGGTAACTTCCTGAGGAATATCCAGGAACATATCCTAGTTAATTCACCTAGAAAATTTCTGCTGAAACTTCCTGGAAAATATGCTGAAAAATATCCTGGGAAATTTCCTAGGCGAATATCCCGGGAAATATGCTGAAGAATATCCTGGGAAATTTCCTGGGCTATATCCTGGAAAATAACTTCCTGGAGAAAATCCTGATGAATATCCTAGAATATTCGTCAGATGCTTCACCAGGACGATTCGCCCCAGATAATTGTGAATGATGCCTGAAAAGTGTGAACTTTAATTTCTCCAAAGGATTTCCCCTGGAAACTTTGAAGATGCATGGAATGATTCTCTGCAGCGGTCCTCTCTCTGGACCTCCCGCAAAATTCATAATGCGCAGTGACTGAACTGTAATCTTCCGATTAGCGGCAAGGATAGTGGGGAATCTCAGAAAAATAAAGAAAACATGATTTCTTGTTTTTTTAACATGCAATTGTTTTCAATCTGCGAAAAAGTCAAGAATGAAGTGAGCGGCACAAATGAGGCACCGTGACACTTGTTACTGTAGTCAATGTCTAGTATTCAGTATTCAATCGTGTATATGTGAGTCACGAATACGAATGAGTATACGAATACTTATTCGGCCAAAAAACCGCTCCCAAACTTTCCTCTTATTTCTTCACGAAGGATACCGCTGTAGCTATAGCTTACATGCGTGAATTTTGTTACCCCCTGTATATTATTCTTGATTGGAGCACAAAATATACCTGAATCCGATATATTTTATACTCGATCCAGCATTATGCATACATTTGATTCCGGTATAAAATAGATACTTTTTGGTATATTTTTTTATTTCCGGGTGAATAATATTTATTCATCCGTGGTTCTGAAACTAAAATTGAATTTACAAAAACTCAATCATTATCTAATACTTATGAAATTTCATTTTTCAAATTATTGATCATTTTGATATATATTATCAATTACGATATACATGTGTGCTTGCGGTTGATGTGGAACTCCGGGACGGTGAATTAGGATGTAAATGATGTTGTGCCCAATTGCTACCATTGTCACTATCCTTTTCACTACGCCCAACGAGTGATGGTCTCGGTATATGCCAGGAACCTTTGGGCTCACCAACTGCCATCATTGTTGCACCGTATCCTGGCTCGGTCTACAAAAACAATAAAAAGAAAATATGAGATTAATATAGCGTATAATCATGGCTTCCATTGCGAAAAGGATCGAGATATGAATGTCACTTGGTGGCCTGTCTACAACTTCGGGACTTAGATAAGGGTAGCCGTGTACCCTCGTTCAAACAATTCACATCGAATCGTAGTAGTCTAACGACTGTCTAATTACATATTTTTTTCACGAAGTAGTCAAGAAGAAAACTATAGTTTCTTAACGTCGTTTTGCATCTATATTTAGTTCCTATGAAGCTTTCATTTCGTGTGAGGTTTGCACTTTTTCCTTATCTCTGTCTCAAAAATTCATGGAGTGTCGATTTGACAGAATATAAAGGAAAGAAAGTGGAAATTGGGTAGTGGATGGTCAGAATATGCAGGTCAAAAAGGGAAAGTCAGAATATAAGGGTAAAAAAATCAAGAGACCTACACTGAGGCTCAGAAAATGAGGTTTAGGATATAAAGGTCACAAAGTGAGGGTCAGAAAGTAAGGGTTATCCAATGAAGGTTAGAATATAAAGGTACATCAAGCAGGTGGCCGAGCCTATCTGTCAGAAGGCATGTGGCAGTTACTTTATGTTATTTGTCTTCTTCATTTCTTATTTCGACCAATTTCTTTGCGAGTACGCTTCCAAATGGATCCCTAAAAATTAAATTTTTTAATTGAAAAGTTGTAATTTCTATTGAACTTTATAATTTTATTCAATACATATTGTAAAGATATTATAGTATTGAAAATATTTAGCCCAGTAAACTAGTAACTATGAGATAATGGTCCATACGCTGTGACAGTTTTAGGTCCATTGAATTTTTTGATTGGACTTTATATTTTTGTCGTCCCTGAACATGAATATATTAACCATTTTTGCGAGGTGTGGTTAGTTTTGTTTATTTATAACACTTTAAACAGTGAGTTGGGCAAAAATGCAATTATGTTTATGGTTAAAATAATCCGAGGTAGAGTTGATTGTCCCACTTTACTGGGTCAGTTACAGTTACGTATTCCACCGAATTCACTTAGATCGCGAGCCCTGATCTACCTTCCCTTCCCGGATAACAATCTATACACGTCCTCACCCATTTACCAGGCCAGTGTCGGTCTAAATTTATTAACTGATAAACATCCGGAAGTGGATCTAATGTGCGATTCATTTCACTCTATCAAATCCAAATCAATTGATCTTGTCAAATCCTTGGTTTAAATTTATCACACAAACGCTCTCCGCATCTACGATAAATTCTAATCTTGTGTGGCACTTGTGGTTCTTCTCAAGATACTATCTTTAAATATTTGTATACCATTATTTTGTATATTACTTTTTGGGACCTATAATTGGCTAAGGCTGTTGGTCCTATGTACACAAATAAATAAATAAATAAATAAATTTCAAACAAAATTGTTCCTCGTCTAAAAATAGATATATTTTACTTATTATTTTTATTTCTATCTCTCATAGTTATCGAGTTATCACCTTTGAAAGCAGGTCGCGGATTGTCATATTGTCAATCGGCATATTCTCAATTTGTCAAATTGTGAAGTGATGCATCTTCTAGATCATTTTCTGATGAATAATTTTCATTATGAACTCTTTTCTCTTCTCCGATTATTTACGGCAATATTTGAATGAAAAGACGGCGAGTATACTGTTTAAAACTTCGCTAATATCACCGAATGTTCGATATACCCTTTTAGGTCCATTGAAACCTAATCATTGAACTTTATGCTTTTGGGGTCTCGGAACACGAATATGTTAACCGTTTTTTCGACCACGATAACTTGGATTTCATATCACGTTGGATGGCAATTGAGGTTCATTTCCCTCACTTCCATCAAATTATATTGTTTACTGTCGAAGTTAGAAAAAAAAGTTATAAGAGAATAATTATGTATTTTTTAGTAAGGTGCGTTCTTGATTTTAATTATTTTTATTATTTTTATTATTTTTGTTTATTCCCAACCGTTTTCATTGTAACCTAAGCGGAGTGCACGACGGCTCACACGGACGTGACTCCGCTCTCCACCGACCTTCTCTCAGAGGTGATAACTCGATAACTATAAGACATTAGAATAGAAATAATAAGACAAAATATATGTATTTTTAAACGAGAAACATTTTTTGTTTGAAACGTTTTTATGTAACTGAGACCGTTTCCACGAAATCGCGTTATAAACAATTAAATTGTTATAGATCAACAAAACTAACCACACCTCGCAAAGACGGTTAAATATTCGTGTTTAGGAACCCCAACAACATGAGGTCCAATAATAAACACATTGAAGAAGGGAATTTATATAGCGTTCCACATCTTTGTGACGTCATAGGAAATGATTGGATGGGATTTGGATCAGGTAGGAGGGGAACTGGCATTATTCTCAATATGAATAACCCAGAAAATTTTTACTGAAAAAAATAAATAGTCCAGACCGGGATTTGAACCCGGGACCTTCCGATTATGCATCGGGTGCTCTCCCAACTGAGCTATCCGGCTACTAGCCATATCTCCGTTTCGAAGTTCTGGTACCTATTGAGCTCCGGCGTCCTTCTTACGGCATTCATTTTTACATTAAAGAAGGGAATTTATATAGCGTTCCACATCTTTGTGACGTCATAGGAAATGATTGGATGGGATTTGGATCAGGTAGGAGGGGAACTGGCATTATTCTCAATATGAATAACCCAGAAAATTTTTACTGAAAAAAATAAATAGTCCAGACCGGGATTTGAACCCGGGACCTTCCGATTATGCATCGGGTGCTCTCCCAACTGAGCTATCCGGCTACTAGCCATATCTCCGTTTCGAATTTCTGGTACCTATTGAGCTCCGTCGTCCTTCTTACGGCATTCATTTTTACATTAAAGAAGGGAATTTATATAGCGTTCCACATTTTTGTGACGTCATAGGAAAATCAATGGACCTAAAAGTGTATACTGGACCTGACACAGCATATGGACTATAGACAATTATATGTGATGCAGTAAATCAATGATAAAAGTAAAAATATTTTTCAAATGGTTAAATTCTGCTTATTTACCTTGTGTAATCAACCTGTGAAAATGAATACTCACATAACGATATATCATGGTTTAAAACAAAAAAAAATTCTCAAACAAATTGTCATATTTCAAAACATACTGATTCACACCGTTTCATACTAGTTAGTGACTAATATTTGAGAGATTTACTACAACCTAGAGCGATGCTTATACGATTTGTATGTTGCCATGTTTCTTGCATATTTTCCGACATCCGACCCTTATAACATCTAATCGTGTACATTTCTAACTATTAAGATGATTGACCACGAAATCGTCTGACTCTTAAACCGAGTGACCCGTCGAAAATTTCAATTCTTAAAAAAATCTAATCGTCGACACGTTTGACCTTCCAAAATTGAGAAGTTCCGGTTTTATCCAACGATACACGATCTCGCTTTTAAGAAATATTTCTATATGAACATCAATGGTGGAAAAACAATGTCATTTTATTAGAAAAATGTTTTTTAGGAGTTTTTTAGGACTCCGTGATACTAATTCTCAAAAAAACAAAAAAAATGGTAAAAAAATCTCTAAGAACGGGTTTTGTTCCGTTCATAAAAAGTGGTGAAATCGACAGAAAGCTTCTGCTAAGTACTGACAGGGGAAGTTGGAACTCAGAAATGCCAATAACGAAATTGAAGAGAAGATGAAAATTATGAAAATAACGATTTCCTTGCACGTGCGTGTAATCACAGCGTTTACATGTCACTGTTTGAATGGTAAACGCGGCGATAACATGCGGCGCCACCATCGCTGAGACGTACTATACTAAAATGTCAACGGCGAGTGTAATCACGCCAAATACACTCCAGTGAGCAAAAATCACCGGAATATACATCTCAATCGTCATAGGATCGTCTGAGGATTACGATCCATGGGGAGACGATGAAAACGATAATCTTATGTTTGAATCTGTGTTTATGGAGGGCGATGGATGTGGAGAAATGAATTGTGATGATGATGAAATTGATGAAGAATTAATTGAGGACGATTAAACACCAAATCAAAGACGAGTAATATTGAAGACTGAATAATATTGCTTATGTAGAGTCACTATACTCATAAGAGTTCAGTAAACATGATGTGTATGTTTTTCCATTGATTCCAATTATCATAAAAAACTAAGACACGAGATCCTTAAAATTTTAATATTATAATGTTAAATAATATTTAAGGGAATGGATTTACCAAAGCTAAAACTATGTCAACAGTTATGTGGTGTTATATATATATAACGTGTTATGACACAAAGTGAAGTTATAAGGCTACTAGAATGTCATGGAAAATGGTATTTATATTTTATTATCAGTGAGAAACTAAACAACTCATTTTGAATATGACCATAAAGAGGAGAACAATAATGTTATTTCTGAAGAACATTCTGAAAGAAGTTTTTTTTCATAATATGGAGAATAGTAAAAGAAAGGCACGATACTTATTAAGAACGTTTGGAGATGACTTTGAGATTATTTTAAAATAAAATTCATCTTTGTGAAAAAATATCCCCTCTGTAACAAAATTAAACGGAATCCCTGCAAACCTTTCCCTTCATAAATTTAAATTTTCTTTTTCTCATCGAATAAATCTGAATGTCCAGTAAAAATTTGGCCAAGTTTTTCCAACGAATATCGATCGACAAAAATGATAGAAAATGAAAATGTAAGAAAATATCCGAATAGAGTATTTCCTAATTCACTAGAATGATACAAATATGTCATTTTTTATCTCTCATACAAATTTTTTTTTATTCTGTGAAGTTATTTTACATAGGGTTTTACATTTGACATAAAATCATTCCCAGAAATTGGATATGTTAAATCTTAGATAATTCTGAGGCTCTGCCAGCTCCAAGTACTCAGCAATTACTTTTGGAGTCATACGAATATCTTCAGAACTCATCCTGCTTCTTGAACATCTCCCTTTAGCATACTTGAGCATGAAATAAT